CCAAAGCTGGAAGCAGTGAATCGAAACAAGAGGGCACAGGGAAGAAGCAACAGGCACTGTCTGTCAGCTGCAGCAGCACATGGCCAGCTGCTACTGCTGTTGCCGCTGCTGTTTCTGCACTCGCTGTCGGCGAGCTTTAACTGCCTAGCAAGCACATACACAACAAGCAACTCGAGAAAAAAACAACAACTCGCTCTCCAGCTAAAGTTGAAGAGCCGTCAGCGCAGCTTTGGCTTCGCTAGGAGCGCATGCAAACGCAGCAGCGGCAGCAGCAGCAGGGATCGCAGGCACGACAAAGGCTTCGTGCTGCTTCTCACGGATTCCCTGGACGGCTGTTTTTTGTTTTTATTTGATTAAACAACAGTGTGTGATTGATCAATTCTCAAGAATTTGCAGAGGCATGCGACTAAGGGACGAATGTTCGCAGCATAGCAACGCAGCCACTGTAGTCTAGTACAAACACTACGCGCAACGTTGTGGTGTGCAGTTAGCCCTCTCCCTCTTATTTTCCTTGAAGTTTCCTTTAGCTGGCCGGGTTAATTAATCAAGTACTTGCGGCCCCGTCTTAAAGGTGCAGTGTGGAGGCTCCTCCGATTTTGCTGGTTTGGGGCTGTGCACAAGTTGCACCGTGTAACGGTTGTCCTTAAGCTTTGCCCGCTATCGAGGGCTGCCATGAGCCGCGACACAGTGAAAAGGCTTAAGGTACGAGTTCCAAAAAGCCGCTGACCTCCCCCCAATCTCNCATGAGCCGCGACACAGTGAAAAGGCTTAAGGTACGAGTTCCAAAAAGCCGCTGACCTCCCCCCAATCTCGCGGTGCCCTGCGCACAGCAGCACGAGGCAATGGGAATAACGCTTGCTCCCTGGCCTTAACCAAGTACAGGAACAAGCTTCTGTGTAGATAAGGCTCAAAGTAAGAGTTTCCTAAGGCATCTTTCGCCCGCCCCAAGCTTCCTGAGCGTTGAGCTCAGGGCCTGGCTGCTGAGGGGAGGAGGCAGCCTGAAGTGGGTTTGCAGCGCACTTCGCTGCAGGTGGTGATACCAGCCAGCCTCACGCGCGTGCACGAGGAAACTTCAACGCAGCTTTATTGATGGTATGCGTTACCTCTGAGTACACTGATAAAGCGTTTATATTAGCTTACATGCAATCTACCAAGCCAAGTGACGGCTCGTATGTTTCCAGTAGGCAGAGCGTGCTACTTTCTGCCATCCGGCGAAAGGCAGGCGCCAGCGTGTTCAGATACCCCCATTAAGGGCAAGACATCAGCTTTGGGCCGTCATCTGCTGTTTCCGGTGGTGCTGTCGCTGTTGCTGCCGCTGTGCTTCCCGCTGCCCGTCCTCCTGCAAGTGGTGCTCCTAATCGTAAA